TAAAAATAACGGCAACGAATGTTTTACAATACAAATTTTATTAGCACTCCCCATGGGGGTTTTTCAGTACTAATACTACGAAATAAGTTACATTAAAATTAAAATGAAATAAGTCAAGGAATTATAAAAATGATATGAAATAAGGTGGAATTATGTGACAATATTGTATTATGAAAATAAAATTCACGTAACGCTTGCTAATTTTATAATTTTTTTAAATTTTTTAATTTTTTATGCTAAGTACTATAATGTCTGTCACATTAGAGAAACACCCCCCAAAACTAGAAGTAGGTTTATGCGTAGCATTTGATTTACCACGATTTACCACGATTTACCCGAATTCTCCACCAATGTAACGCAAAGTTTCCCGTGCGGAACTGCACGGTTAGGGACGGATATGGGCTATCAGCTTGGATGCTGTTGAGTACACGGACAACGGGCGGACGGACTTGACTTGAGGAAAGCTCGGAAGAGCACAGGCTCGCTGCGCGGCACTCGTTACTCAATGCCAAAGGTACCGGGTCGTTGTCATTCATCAACCGGACACTAAATCAACAAGGACTCTCACAGATCTTGACCTCTCTTGTCTTCTTTATTGTAGATTAAACCTCGTAGTACATAGGTCAAAGGTAACTCAGGGTAAATCACTGATTTACCCTGAGTTACCTTGATCACCTAGAAGGTGATCAAGGTAAATCGTGGTAAAATCGTGGTAAATCAAATGTTGTACAGTACGTGCTTATATATGCTCATGGTGCGATAATAATGGCAGGTACGTAACCTTTAAGGTTTACAGCAAAATAAATAGCTAAGTCAAGTCTTAACAATACCAACATCCGTAAAGGAAATTGTTAAACGTTTAGATCTTCCATTCAAGATACGTTCGAGGAAATTGCTCAAAATATAAGTAAATAATGGTGTTAATTGAAAATATGCTATTTTATATCTGACAACACGTAATATGAATGAATTACCGATATTAGACGAAATGCTCGACTATAAGTAATCGTAAGATTTAGAGAAGTTCCTTTCTATGTCAACATTTATGAATTTGTAATTATTCTGCATTTAAGATTCGTACATTGTTATCTTATACACCCCTCTGTAACAGACCTGGTGAAACCCGACCTGGTGGGTTATTTTGCCCTCCCTGGTGGAATTTTGACCTCCCTAGTTGGCACCTGGTGGTTTTTTAAAAACTCCCTGGTAAATTTTCTTGCTCCCTGGTGTAGAATTTTAGTTTCTCTGGTGAGGCGTGCTCTCCTGCAAGAAAAATTCACGAGTTTGGAATTCCGTTCTTGTTTCTGTTATATCAAAACTTTTTAAAGGATCGGGTATTACTTGTGGTATGTTGTTGTACAAAAGGATTGCGGGCTTGGGAAGCGCTCTTAAGGGCCCATTAACCGATTCATGCGCGCGCTCGCGCGTGTTGCTAAGGAGGTGAAGTTTCACTTCCACTAACTAACGTTAGCCTGAGCGTGGAATAACTTGCAAATTCGCTTACATTTTAGATGTCTTTCTTTGTGTTTCACAAAATACAAAGTAAAAAAAGTACAAGCAAAGACAAAATAA